CCCACCCCTATGGTCTATCCTACCAAATTCAAGCCCATGCACTCTCTACAGAGGCAGCTGCTTATGTCACAAAGTATATACTCTATTATTTAATTCGATTTTTGACTATAAGTTTCTTATTGGTAAAAGTGTATGCCACCACTGTGGCATCTACTTAAATCTCTCTGCATTATTTAACATCAAGCAAAAATAAAGAAATAAAAGGTCAATATATGTGATCTACTTCTGACACTTTACCCTTCTCTGATAAAGACGCACACAGTGCGTGCTCTCTAGATGCTGAGCAATATGCCGACTCAAGACGAGTACTGAGTGAGAAGCTGAGTCCGATAGAGAAAAAGAGGAACCTGAGTGGGTTTCTATTCAGCTACAGAGGACGCACTGCTCATAATGAAATTTCAGCTGGATTTCATTACGGCTTTTCTGCTTTGGAAGACAGGAAAGATGAAGCGAGCGGGGTTTGGGGTGTGACAGTGGGCCACAGACTGGACTCTAAATCACAGTACAAGGTATGCATCACAGAACACAGCGAGCTATTACAGCTTTGAACTAACTCAATTACTGTGTTGCTGCAAGCAGAATGTACGGTGCTGGTCTTCAGAGAGAGACAGACGCAGAAGGTGAGGCGAGGAGGATGAAGGAGGTGAGAGACCAAGAGAGGAAAGCGCCATGTTAAATTATTCATTCTGCCAATAATCCTATTGGAGGATGCAAAACCCAACAGTCGCCCCCGTCTCATCTCTACTTTTAGCCTTCCCTTTCCATACTTGTCCTGAGTTCAGCCGCTAGTCAGTATGGCTTCTTTGATTCCACACTTCACAGCTTTCCCACCAAGTTCCCCTCACCAGTTTGTCTGTACATATCCACATGTCATTTCCAAACGATCATGAGCTCAGCCACCGAGTTCAATCTGAAACAACGGCACGGTGATGTGGCATCAGAGTCAGGATATGATTTGCGATCAGCAAGGCGAGCTCATGACTGTGTGACGACGCAAGCTCTTTGACAGGAAGACACTTTAATCTTTCCTTTCCCTGCCTGCATTTCCACTTTCAGTCCCGTACTTTTATCCCAGATCCTTTCTGCCCTTCTCTGGGGGATTTGTGTAAACTGAACATCAGTTGCTAATGGATGGTGTTAATTATTAGTAACTGTGTTTATGCAGTGCAGATATGAAAAAGCAGCACATGGTCTTCTGTGTGGCATCCCCACATGTGCCGGGCCTGAAAGTCTTTTCAAGGAGAGAAAGCAGAGCCTGTGTGTGCATAGCTGCTGAATGCACCCCGACATCTTCTCTTGATTCTGCATAAAGTCAACATCAAATGAGCACAACTGCAAACCCTCAAGTCATCGCTTCCCACTCTCGAATGAATGTAAATGAGTTTGTGTGTGTTTTTGCTGCATCTCACCTATGTAGACTCTCCGACTGAAGCGCTGCATGAGCAGCAGGACGAACACATGAAGAGGAATCAAGTTGATTATGAACACATAACCACCCCAAGCAGAAACCTGTCAAAAAACACATTTAATGAGCCCACTTTAATTAATTCAAAGCTTTCATTAATGGCGGGGCGGAATCATTTGGATTATGCATGCAGAAAGGCCTACCTCCACACATACACAGACTGCTACATGGCTAGCTTATCCCCGCTGAATGTGTACAATGCTTTCGACTGTAGCAGATAATCAGTAGAAGTATAACTGGCCCACGAATCCCTAAAGAGTGACTGTGTTTTCTCTTTTATTCACTTCAATAATGAGACGCTTTGCAATAAGGAGGAGGGTGCAAAGCTGCACAGCCCACCTGTGAGCTGTGAAATCATTATGAGCTTCAGCATTACGACTGGCATTCACATTATGCTGCTGGTACAAACCCCTCAGAAGCACAAACACACAGACACACATGCACAGAACAGAGACGCACACACACGCAACCCTTTTCAAGCTTTGTTCTGATTCGTCTCAAAGTGTCATGTAACTGCCAGGCAGCGAGCGACTGCCAGTGAAGCGGCGTCACAGTTTACGGCACGAGGTGATTCTTCACATTCTGACGTGAATGATGGGCAGGTTAAGGGAACGGTTCTCCCGAGGACATCTTTCATGTCTTCGTCTGATGAAAATGGCTCCCAGTGGTTCGAGTGCAACAAAGTTTGATGGACATCATAACTGCTGCAACAGTTCTGTGAAGGGCACGGCGCTGCGCACTGACAGTGATGCAGAGTGACTCTGCGAGCCACAAGTTGCTCTCATTTTCAGTTTAAGGTTCAGGCCCCGTCCTTAACAAGTGTCAGAATCACTCTCTCTGAGGGACTATGCTCAAAGTGAGCCTCGGACTACAAATGCTGAAGTTGGGCTAGAGGCTATTTGCTGAACCCCTTCCAATTATTTTCAGCCAGGAGCAGAACATAACAATGACACCGCTAACGAAAAAA